GGAGGATATGTGTGTCAACTTTAATGTTGAAGTTATTGCAGGTATTATCCAAATTCATCTTGTCTTTTTCTCATGGAGACTTAATGGATGAATAGAAGAGAAGGGAGACTTAAGTAATAACTATTGAAAATTTAAAAATGAACTTTCAAAAATGATCTATTTCATGGACAGCAGTGAAGATTCCATCTGTTAAAAGTGGAGTTGGGTTGTGTTTCAGAAATTTAAAAGACATTTCCTTTACTTTTTGAAGGACATAATAGATACTTTTAATATGTGATGTTTTTGTGAAGGTCCCGTTTTCTTTTGCTGCATTACTATATGTATTCTTATAGAGTAGATTTTCTAAAATTATACATCCTTCCTAATTTAACACAAAATTACTTCATATCTGCACCTGGCACTTAAATTTTGGTTTAAAAGAAAACTGTAAAATTGTCTGTTATTGGCATATTGCAAATCACCAACTGTGATTCTGCCACTGAAATTCAAGCAGCATTTGTTCATGACATAGTCCAGATTTCATAATCCTTGTGTTTTCTAAAAATGCTGGAGATAATTATTGAAATTAATATACATGTATAAGCTCTTCCATCATGTTTGGCATTTAAAGACTTGTTCTTTGTAATTTTCCTTTTCCATTTTCAGTTTGCAAAAAGGACTTGATTCTTGAGAGAAGATATCATTGTGGAAAGTTAATAACAAACTTGAATTTCATTTGCTTTCTATTATGCACCAAAATGTCAAAACTTAATATCTTCAAAATGCATATTAAGCCAAACACCTTGTGAAGAATATAATAATATTAAAATCATGCATAGAAATCGTAAAACCTGTTGAAGAGTCTGAAGTAGATATTGTTAGCTTATCTGGATTGCAAAGGTACTTGGTTTAAAGTTGAGTGTTCCTAGAAAAATAGACAATCTAGCGGAGGGTCAACAAGTTGTAGTCTGTAATCTTTTTTATTTTTTTTAAATTTGTCAATGGACCTTTATTTTATTTATTTATTTATACATGGTACTGAGTATTGAACCCAGTGCCTCACACAGGCCAGGCAAGCACTCCACCAGTGAGCCACAACCCCAGCACCTTGTGTCCTACAATCTTGTTTTGCTGTCAAACTTTATGAATAAAGTTTTATTTAAACATATCCACATTCATTTGTTTGTTGTTTCTGACTGCTTTTATGCTATCATGGAAAACTAGAATTGTTCTGGTAGAGATGATAGAGACCACATGTCTGAAAATATTTGCTCTCTGACCTTTTTCAGGAAGAAATTGCTGATCCCAGATCTAATGGAAAGTCTGGGCTTCTACTACAGAAAGACAACTGCCAGTCAATGTCACATTGATTTTATTAGTGTATAAGGAAACTGGTATATGCATACAAACATCTTTCCATTTTTTTAAAAATAACTTATGGATTTCTTTTCCCACTTATGTTGCTCATTATAAGGTTGGGTAGCCAAGTAGTCATTCTGCTGTGCTTTTTCCTTACCACTTAACCTCCTGCTGAATTGTTTAATCAGCTAATTATATATTGTACTGCAGAAGGGTTCTGAACTTCCTATTTGTCTACATGTCTCTATGACGTTATAATGGCTTTCTTTGTTTCATGAATTGATTAATAATATGTAAGCATTCATGGAAATAGGATTTGTTCAAAGTGACAAAACTATGTAATGAGGTTTGTAATTATAATTACTGTTCATATTTTATAAATTTACTATGCTTTAGAGAGAAAAATAGTCAGGGCTATTGGCATTAAAAAAAAAAAAGCTTGAATTCAAGACAGAAATGGGTGGTTCATTTTGGCTGTCACTGGTTTACTTTTCTTTGGAATGTTAAGCTTCTCCATTACTAGAACCAGGATTGTAGGTCAATGACCAATGTGATGGCTATTGTTGATCCTTTTAAGAAATTCATTATTCTTTTGAGAACTGTATTTGTCATAAGATGAAAAAGAATATATTTTATTTTCATAATTTTTTTGGCCACCAAAATTTTTATTTTGAGATCAACGTACAGAGTTACATTTAAAAATTTTATTTTGAAATCATTTTAAATTTCAGAAGAGTAGGAAAAATAGTTAGAGTATTTCCATACAAGTTGCTTCATTTACCTCTAAAATTTTCATCTTATATGATAATCAAAACAGTAAAATAACATTGCATCAATACTGTCACCTAATCTGTGGAGTTAATTTAAATAATTTTGCCATTTTTTTAGAATTGACATCCTTTTCCTACTTCTGGATCCATTCAAGGATAGGATCATACTGCATGTAGTTCTCATTTTTCCTGTCTCCAAATTAAATAATTTTATCATTCTTTGACTGTTATGACTTACAATCTGAAAGCATTTTATTTATTTTGTGGAATGTCCTTTAACTTGGTTTTGTCTAATGTTTCATGATTAAATTGAAGGTAAACATTTTTGGCAGAAATAGGAACTTCAAAAGTCATTATCCTTCCTAGTGCATGTTATCCGATAGAACATGATACTGACATCTCTTATATCTTCAAGTGCTATTGCTAAGTTTCTCCACTGAAAAGATTTCCCCCCTTTTAGTTAACATATATCTGATGGGGAGGCATTCTGAGATATGCAAATATCTTTTTTCTCATCATTTTCTTACCCATTAACTTTAGCATCCATTTGTAGATCTTACATAAAACAATTATTGCTATGGAAATTGCCTAATGATGACTTCTCTTTCCATTATTCCATTATCTTTACTATTTGGAATATTATATAGAGATCATATGTTCATTCTCTGCCATTTGTTTCGTAAGTCATTATGGAATCATGCATGTTTAGTTTACTTCTTTGGATTCTTTAATCAGTGTGAACATAGGCATTTATAATAAGTTGTGTCAGCTTTGATCACCTTTAGGTTGTCACCTCTTTTCTTTTTTGTGCCTCCATCACTTTGAATACTTCTTTACTCTCAATATCACAGGGTGTTCCAGTTCATCATGTATTATCCTTGCCTTCAGTCATAAAATCAGCCATTTTTCCAAGAAGCCCTGGTTAATTTATTGGAGAATAATATCAGATACAAAGATCTGGGTATTAAATATATTTGTTGGTACTGTGAAGTCATTGCTTTCAGGACCTTTGAGTGAACAGTCAGGAAATATGTATTTGTATACTCAAACATGCATTCAATATTTGCCTATACTTATCTATGCATGTCTCTACCTAACTATAGTCCTGCTTCTCATTATGACATCTCAGTCAACAAGGGAGTACATAGATGATGGTGGTTCCATTAGATGACAGTGGAGCTGAAAATTTCTGATTGCCTGGTGATGTTGTAGCACAAGTCATTATTCACATGTTTATGATGATGCTTATGTAAACAACCCTTCTGTACTGCCTGTTGTTTAAAAGTGTACATATAATTATTTATAGCATGTGATACTTGATAGTAAGCAACTTATAAGTTTGGACATATGTGATTTTTTATCTTTATTTTAGAGTATACTCCTTATTAAAAATAAAGTTTCTTGTAAAGCAGTATGCCCTGTAGCATCAGCCTTTACTTCTAGGGTTTACCATCTCTCTTGATAGCATCAGAAGCCATTTGGATACATTGGTCTATACCATGCTAGGCCTTATGTATGTACATTCCAGGATGTTTGCACAATGACAGTCATTCAGTGATGCATTGCTTGGAATGTGCTCTTTGTAAGTGACAAATGACTGCACCTATTTGTAAAAACCATGAGTTTGAGCTAAATATTGTAGTGCACACCTATAATTCCAGCTACTCAGAAGACTGAAGCATGAGGATTACACATTTGAGGCCCCTCTAGGTAACTTATATGAAACAATATCTCAAAATTAAAAAAAAAAAGGACTGGGGCTGTAGCCTAGCATGCACAAAGTTTTGGGTTCAATCCCCATAACACCAGGAAAAAGAAAAAAAAGACACCCCCTGTCCCCAACCACCACTACCTCCATGGGCTTCTGCTTCCAAATAATACCACGAAGTTAACTTTTGCTTATTTGTAACTTTGGTTTCTGATCATCAAAATGTTGGTTTTTGTTTCCCAAAATATATTCATTCATTCATGGTAGGTGTGTTTGTGTACAGTAGCAAAATCTCTAAATCATATCCTTGTCAGAAGCAAATTTACTAGCAAGAATATAGTATTTGTGTGACAGTTCTTTTCGTCTTAGCTTTACATTAAACAATGCAAATAGTTTTCCTACATTTAGCTAGTTGTTCTTTTCTTTCCTGTCCCACTTAATGTATGATCATTTGTACGTGGTTGGTTTCATTTGTTTGTGAGACATTTTCAATTCTCCCTGTTCTCCTCACCTCACATTGGCATCCTGGTTTGTTTAAAATTTTCACTTCTGTTGTAAGTAATTGAATCATTATCATGGTTCCGAGCTTCAGTGGTCTACAGAAAAAAGACCCAGAAAAATAAAAATATCACTTCCTCATTGTTGCCATCGCCTATTCCCATGTTTCCTTTCTTTCTACCATATCCCTACTTACTGCTTGTAGGTAACTCATTTTATTAATTTCTCTTTTATCTTACATTTTTTAGCATAGAAATGAGCAGTCATGCATAGTTTTTAAGTTCCCTTCTTGCTGTGTATACACATTTATACACACACACACTCTCATATACACATACATTTTTCCTTTCCATGTAACAGTATAAGCTGTGTTAAAACAAACAAACAAACAAACAAACAAACTACTAAATCCATCCTTGAGTTAGGATTCTCTGATACCAACCTGTTTTCATATATTTGATCCATAGAAATTTGGATATGAAATGTACAAATTGGAACTGTAGAAGTAAAACTGTAAGCTTAAGGAAAACACTATTTTTGAGGGGTTTTGCTTTCTAAAACATAACTTCCCTGGGTGCATTAATGTCAGTATTTTTCCACTGTGAATTTATGTTAAAATAAGATAACATTTTGGCAGTAATTTAAATGCCTTTATTTATACATGCAAATTTGCCTTTCTTTTCTAGCTGGTAGCTGTGTTTGATGAACAAGATCCACATCATGGAGGTGACGGCACCAGTGCTAGTTCCACAGGTACCCAGAGTCCAGAGGTGTTTGGTAGTGAGCTTGGTACCAACAGTGTTTCAGCCTTTCAGCCTTATCAAGCAACAAGTGAAATTGAGGTCACACCTTCAGTCCTCCGAGCAAGTAAGTGAAACTTCTTCGTTCTCTCTACACATTTCATCTTAATTTACAGGGATGCCAACTTTTGTTATCCATCCATGCTCCCGTGAATGGAATTCATTATCTGTTTTTATCAACAGTTGATTAAGTTTAGAACCTAGGCCAATGTCTTTTGCAAGATCAGCAAGCAACTCTTTATATTTTAATAGACTGGGATTACTTTACTTTAGACTAGTAAACTTTTTATTGCTCACAAAAGCTAAATAAGGATAATGGAAGAAATAAAATTACCTGGATTTTTCTTTCTATATGTATGTCATCTGAATTAACTAGTATGGATAGAAGTCATTGAAGGGTTTCTTACTGAAATAAAACACAGCACCATTGATTCACAATCAGCTTGGTTACAACTCTTACTTGTGATACTTGAACTTTACGTGATGAACTAGGGAAGAAGAGACCAAAGTTATCTTTAGAAGTCTGGAACTTAGAATTTCCAGGGTGCTGCAATTGGAGCACACCTCAAGGAAAGGAAGGTTAGGAACAGAGAACTTGTGCTATGAATCCTGTGACCTAGAGTATTCCACTTCCAGACATTTGTTTGGAAAATTCTGTTAACCATTTCTAGAAGGTATACTCAGGAGGCTTTTTCTAGAAATAGCATTTCATGTTTCTTATTGTAAAATCTTATAGTTGAGGAGTTATAAAGTATAGGAAGGCCCATTTCAAGACATTTATAATTTTGAAGCTCATTTATCTTTTAGATACCTCTGTATGTAAACACTTCAGTTTTTTAAGTGGAACATTTTGGTCTTGCATGTGTTTACTGATAGTCTTCAGTGAATCTTCATTTAGGTGGAATGAATACACACACACACACACACACACACACACATACACACATACATACATATACACTATGTTGCTTGCATAGAGAATATAAGTAAATAATACTTAGGATACTTGATTTAATCTCCTGAATTTCAACCTTATTCTCACTTTTGCATTGATGTCGGGTTATACCATTTTAGCAATTACTTCTAGATGTTTGTAAACTACTTTTGCTTCCATTGTTCCTTGAGGGTATACATGAGGATTTGGAGTGTAACTCAGGAGTAGAGTGTGTGCCTAACATGGAACTGGGCTCTGGGGTTCAATACTTAGGACTGAAAAAAAAATGTATATTGGGATAATAGGACTATCAATTTCTGATAGTCCATCAGAAATTATGAAAAAATATGCTGTGATTACCATAAAGAGATGTAGGGATCCAGAAGTATATTGCAAGATGATGAATCTAATTGATGCACTATAGGGTTCTGTCTGGATGCAGATTCATGTTAACCACTTTCTATAATTTCTTCATATTTTCTGTAACAGATGAGACCCTGGCACAATTAGTGTTTGTAAGGGACCTTGAAGTAGAACAGCTGTTGTTAGTTAAGTTGGTTTAGTTAACTTTTCTTTCCTTCCCTTCCCAAGTTCCTTCCCATTCTTCTCTTCCCCCTCCCCCTCCCCTCCTCCTCCCCCTTCCCCTCCCTCTCTCCCTCCCCCTCTCTCTCTCCCTCTTCCCCCTCCTCCTCTCCCATTGCCTAGGCTGGTCTCAAACTCAGGAGTTCAAACTATCCTCATTTCTCATCCTCCTGAGTAGCTGGGATTATAGATATATACCACCACACCCATCTTGAATATTTTTTTTATATGCAGAAGATTTTGGTTTGTTTGTGCACATGTATAAGCGAGTATGTTTTAAACTAATTTTGTGGAAATGACATTTGATTACTCTAAGGATATACACTTAAAAAGAAATCATGTTGGATTTACTTCAGGCATTGTTATAGGCAAGGAAAATGTCATGCATAGTATCCAAAGTGATGTGAGGTGGTTCCCAGGCTCTTTAAGATTTTTCAAATTAGAAACTAGCTCAGTATTAAGTGGATATCTGTTTGGAATTAACTTTTGTATAAAAAGTAGATTTTCTAGATGTGATTAAAAATATTTTTTTTTCTCATTAAATAATACTACCAGTATTGAGGTACCTAAATTTTGGAAAACAGTGTCCTAATTTGAGCAATTGTACCTTAATATATATAATTAAATATAGGACTTTTTGTTGGATTATGTTTGTAGTTTTGTATGTATGTGTTTTCTAAAGCAACATGCACCTTTTATTTAGCTGCATTGTAAAGAGAATGTTGGCAGAATGGTAAATTTATATTCATGTTAAAAATGTGAATGGTTTACTTTCTATCAACTTTTATCTTTTGTCTTCTCTGGACTCGTCAACATTTCTCACAAACACCTGCATTTGGCTGGCCCTGTGAGTTAAAATTTAAACACTATTTTTGACTGAAATATCTCTTTTATCTTGTTTTTATTGGGAAAAAGAAGTTATGTTTCAAACATATGTGTTGTCTTCCAGCCATCAGTGGGAGAATATGCAGAACTCATTTTCTGGCTCTGATTTTTATTTTTTTTTTATGCTAAGGTTGTTTAGATTTTATGGCCTTGGCTGGCACCGGGTATGTATATGTTAAGCATGTACCATATACAAGGCTCATGACTATGTAAAAGTTACCCGTGACACATGTCATCTATTTATTAAGATGATTTCTCATACCATATATTGAGATTCAAACAGGAAGCATGATTTTGTCTGTATGCTTGCCAGGCATTGTGTTATGCTGAAAGTGGCCAGAGTTGAGTTAATGAAGCGTAGGGCTTTCCATCAAGGAAATATGTTGGCTTTCTTATTTACGGATTTGAAAATAAAGAAGCCAACAACAGTAAAAATCTGTTTGAGGAAAAATTAACTGGGGGCATGATTAATAAAAGCTTTTTTTTTTTTTTTTTTTTTTTGCCTTAAAGAAAGAGTGATAACTATTCTGTATCATCCAGTGAGCGAATTCAGTCATCCCTTTGTTTCACAAAGAATCACTGGATGCTGCAGAGGGCATGTAGGGTATAATTCTTCCTCCATAAAATAGTGAATATTAAGTTTGGGTTTAATAAACAGGATTATTATCTCTGTTTTCTTTGAAATTGCTATTAATTTGCCCTTGAGTTTTTTTTTTTTAAACAAGAATTCTGGTTTAGTTAAATCAGTGGTTCTCAACTGGTAGCAGCTTTTGAAACTCCAAGGAATATTGGACAGTATTCAGAGATATTTTTTCATCTTCACAGTTGGTTGAGGAGGGGATGCTACTGACAGCTAGTAGAGGACAAGAGTGCTGCTAAACATCCTACAAACACAGAACAGTCATCAGGCAAAAAACCACCCAACCCAAATGTTAGTATAGATTACAGCTTAGAAACCTCAAATTAAATGAATCATCTTAATAACTGAAATTGCAGTTACCTGAAATTTTATTGAAAAACTATTGAATCCAGTATATTGAAATCCAGTATACTGAATGTGCTTTACTATTCTGTAAAGTGCTGTATAAGTGTAGGACAATGATGTGATTTTTTTTTAGCCAATACCAGTACTGCTGTTAGTGAATTACTAATAGACAATTTTAAAAAATAGCCTGTGGTAGTGTCATACAAAAATATTAGTATACATGTGATAAATCATAACAAAAATATAAATTTCCTAAATGCAAAAAAATTGTATTTTAGCAAATGAGAGAGTAAATAAAACAAGCCATAATGAAAAGACTGTTGATATAAAAATGATACATAGCCAGGAACAGTTGTGCACCCTGAAAGTCAAGCTACTCTGGAGGCTGACGCAGGAGGATCTTGAGTTCAAGAGGAGCTTCTGCAGCTATTCAAGATCTGTCTCACCATAAAATCAAAAGGGGATGGAGATGTAAATCAGTGGTTAAGCACCCCTGGGTTTAATCCCTAAGGGTACTTAGGATACAATAAAGTTGAGTAAAAAATACATACCTTTGGACAAAGGAGAGAATAGGATGGAAGAGATGAAATGCAACCTAGAGTTATACTACCTTGTTTTATACTTCTGATTTTGAAACCACATTATATCTTACATAGTTATGAATTGATCACATTTTAAGTTTTACAACAATAATTAATATTAGTCATTATTCATAATAATATTTTAATAAGGAATGATTCTTAAAATGAGAATCAAATGTGAAACATCCCAACATAAATATGTTTCCAGTTGGCGACCCAAACATACAGGAATAACTATTTTTAATCACTTTATAATACAGTAATTTGTATAACTAAAGAAAGATGTATATCAAGGGGTGGTGGTAAAGAACTACTAAACAAACAGGAACCCTAAAACTGGTTGTTGTTGATTATGTAGGCATTGTTAATTTGATTGATAGGTGGATATTATGGGATAAAGTAAATAAGGGGTTTAGTATAAATTGAGTATACCTTATCTGAAATGCTTGCGATCACAAGTGTTTTGCATAGGATTTTTTTAAATTTTGGAATATTTGCATGTACATAATGAGATATCTTTATGATGTGACTCAATTCCAAACATGACCTTTTTTTTATGTTGCATATGCACCTTTTGTACATAGCCTGAAGGAAATTTTATACAGAATTTTTTCGTGCACCTTTATTATTTAATTTATTCTAATTAGTTATATATGACAGCAGAATGCAATTCAATTCATATTACACAAATAGAGCACGTCTCTGGTTGAACACAATGTAGAGTCACACCCTTTGTGTTTTCATATATGTACTTAGGGTAATGATGTCTGTCTCATTCCACCATCTTTCCTACTCCCATCCTTAACCTTCCCTTCCCTCCCCTTTGCCCTATCCCATGCTCCCCATCCTCCCAACCCTCATCGACATTATGAATCAGCATCCTTATATCAGAGAAGACATTCTGCATTTCGTTTTTTGGGATTGGTTTACTTCACTTACCATTATATTCTCCAACTCCACCCACTTACTTGTAAATACCGATTTTATTCTCTTTTAATGGTGAGCAGTATTCCATTGTGTACATATAGCACATTTTCTTTATCCATTCATCTACTGAAGGGTATCTAGGTTAGATCCACAATTTAGCAATTGTGAATTGA